GTATTGTGCTCCTGTAGACCTGTGGGTGTACATGGGGGTATATCAATGGGGCTGCAGGCACGTGGAGCAGGGGCCATTGTGCCCCAGGGTACAGTGCAATCTGGTGTGGGCTGGGCTTGCAAAATGATGCCATGCTGTAGCTGCTTAGAACTCAGGGAGTGTAGGGAACCCACATGAGTTCCCTCTCTAGAGCAATGCTGTTGCGTGGTCTCTAGGCAGCTCCCTATGCTAGTCTCCGGGCCCATGAAGATCCAGGGGCTGTCCTATCGGTAGGATTGCAAGAGTCTGTGGTGGGAATGTGGACCACTGGGGATCTCTCACTGCGCATCTCTCCCTTTCCCCACACTAGTCTCTCTGGGCTCCTAGCCAATCCTGGCTGAGCCAGTTGCTTAATTTCCCTCTCCTCCCATGCCTCAGCTGTTTCCTGTCACTTCTCTGTTGATTTCCAGTGTTCTCCTGGATGCTCTATTCAAATGCCTCTGTCAGCCATTTTGAAGCCTTTCCCTCGGTCTCTTTTTTCCAGGCTTCTGTCCTTAAGCTGCCTCAGCTAATCAAGTTTCTATTAAATAATAATATATTTTCTCCTGGATGACTAGGACTGATCCAGATGGCCTCACTCCTTCAAAATAATTGCAAACAAGATTAAAACTGCATTTAGGAACTATTCCAGTTGGCTTTTGCCTTTCTCTGATATATACTCTTGAGCTTCATGCCATCAACTAGGTGTAAATTTTTAAGGGATCTCTTACTTTATCTGCCCAACTCACTTTCTTCTGGAAACAGCTTCCAATGTCTTCCTCAATATACCCCGTTCCCTTCTCCCAGCTATATGATTCCTGCTGCTGTATGATCCTACATCTTGGCCACAGTTGATGGGTTCAAGTTTAGATTGCTGACCTGAGTCTGGCAACCCATAGTGCTTTGCCTCTGAACCTTGCTTCACTAATTTAAAAGAAGGCACCTGCACCAAGAAACATTCATCATAATCCTTCTCTTATTTTTTTAAACTCTGAAAAAGAAAGCCAATTCCTCTTTGGTGATAGAAGTATTAAGAGGGAGGGCTTGGCTTCACTGGTAGCATGTTTTCCTGCTACCAAAAAGAAGTGAGTCTATAATGAAAGACAATAAAGTATCATATAAGGAAATGATGTTCTGGTGGCATTTAAGTTCCTGGCTTCATTTGAACATCTAGCCTAGCTACATCCCTGTACTCCTCTTGATTCAAATGTGTGAATTTCCTTGAATTACACAATCTATCCCAGTAGCTTCCTAAAAATGTTCTCTTTCTGCCTAAGGTAGGGTTGGGTTAAACCTTTTAGATATTTATGCATATATCCTGCCATATGATAGTGTATTACTCTATTGAATTGAAGTGTTGTTAGGTTTCCAGGTTCAATAATGCAAAGGAAGCATGTAATTTGGCTGAAAGCAAGCTGGTTAACATGATAATTTGGTTTGAAAATAAACATCACCAATGATTTGATAATTTTTTTTGGTGTACCCAAGCAGTTTTGCAATTTTTTCATGTCTTTTTTTTAAAGATTTTTTTAATTTTTGCTTTTCAAATTTGCCTTTTAAAACTTTAAATATTTCCTTCTAGAATTTAAACTCAGTTGTTCTTCCTTTGGACTGCTTATAGTAGAAAAAAGCTGGAATAATGTCAATATATAACAATAAGGGATTATTATAAAGAACAAATTATGTATCTCAAACAGGGCGATGTCTTCTATGCTGTAAACACAGTAGACTTAAGTGACCAACAGGATTATTTTACAGTTCATTGCTCAAATTTCTCTTTTCTGAGGAAGAAATCTAACTTAGGGAATATCAAAAAGTTAGAAAATTTGTGGGATATCAGAAAGCACAAACAAAAAATTTTGGCCCAGTCACTTTCACTGTGACACCAACGCCAAAACTCCTGTCCTCTTGACATAAAACAGAGCTGGTGGCTCCAGCAGCCCCTTGACTCCGGGGTCAGGATGGTAAAATCTCTCCCTTTTCCCACCTCCCGAGTCGCTGCTTAATCAAGGACAGTTTGGTTAGTCTGTGAGTCTGTCATTGGGAAGACTCCTCGTCCCTCAGCTAGCAGGCATAACAGCACTGGTGTCTTGATGGTGGCACCTTCTCAAGCTATTGGGGTCAGAGTTCAAGAAGGTTAAGGTTAGGAATGGAGTAAGGAGTTCAAAGGAAGTGATAGAAGATAAGGGGTTTTTGATAAAAGTGGAAGAGAGGAGGGCTGCAACCGTCCCTCTGTATGAATTCAGACAGGTCTCTTCCTCTTTCTGGGCTTGTTTTCTCATCTGTGCAATACCAAATTAGATTAGGTGGCCTCTGGGGTCCCAGTCAGCTTTGACTGGCTTTGATTCTGAGAGCTGGAAATGCAAAGAAAGGAGGTCAAGGGACAATCAGTGACCCTGGCAAAGGTGGACATGGGAAGGGCTGATTGTCATAATCAGAGATGAGGTGAGCAGGGTGGGGCAGTCAAGTGCTCTGGTGCTTCATTTTTACTCTTTATTTTTTAAAATAAAGTTTTGCTTTGTTGCCCAGGCTGGTTTTGAACTCCTGGTCTCAAGTGATCCTCCCATCTCAGCCTCCCAGTGTTGGGATTACAAGTATGAGCCACTGCACCCAGCTTTCATTTTCTCTGTGGAAAGAGATGAGGTAGAACAAGATTGCAGAAGTGAAATTAACTTCTTGGGCAGGTTACAAGGTTGTGAAGCATTGGCTGAAAAGGCATCTGTAGTACAATTCAAAGAACTGTTAACCTGACATACCTGGGTTTGAATTGTAACTCCCCTGCTTCCTAGCACTAAGCCTGATTTTCAACCTCTAAAAATGCCTATACTAATTACCTGGAAGGATGCTGTGAAGAGCAAATGAGTCAACTTCTAAGGGTTCTGCAATCTCTAAAGGTTGTCCAAATGGGGGTTCAGTAGACATTTGTTATTGGATGAAAGAACTGCAATACTCCTCCCCTTAGCTGAGTGGATCTCTTTATGTACGTGACACTCCCTCTTCCACTGGCCCATCACGTTTTTATGTCTATGTGTGTGTATGAAGGACAAATGATATTTATGCATATCAAAGGGGAAGAGACTGAGAAATTCTGGTATGTGCAAAGTCCTGGATGGCTCAGGTAACTCAGGGTGCAATGCTGTCAGTTATTTTTCAATTGTGTGCCCTCAGGCAAGTCTTTCACCTTTCTGAGCGTGTGTGTAAGATGGGGGATAATCATACTCGCCTCAGAAGATTGATGAGATGAAAATGGACAGTAAATAGCAAAGTCTTTCTAAACCCAAAGAGGGAGTTGTACTGAAAAAATATTACACCAGGAATCTGGTTAGGGTGAAGGCAGGCTGAAGAATGGCAAAATGATTGGACTTTGAAATCAGAGGGCCTTGAGATTCTGTCCGTGCTTCAAGGTCATGGGACACAGGAACATTGCTTAACTACATTCATCTAAAAGCAAAGAACACCTACATCTCAGTGAATTGTTGAGGATTAAACCTCTACTATGTATTTCACCTCATGTCCTGCACAAAGTAAGCACCAGAATTACTATGGATAAGGCCCCAACAATTCACCTTCAATATTTCCCTTCAATGCAGGGAACATATTCCATGCATCTATTTTCCCTAACTTCAGTTTCGTTTTGGAAGCTGTGAACACCTCCTAAGGGCAAAGCTCCATTCTAGGGTCTAGGAACCAGGAACTAATGGTCAGAAGCTGGAAGCTCATGGCAGGCAGGACCCTCTAACTCTCCCAGACCTATTGTCACTCACTCGAGCTTAGGACTATGAAGTGAAGCTAAACTCAGGGTCCATGAACCCATGTAGTCCATTTGAAAGGATCTGCATAAAAATGGTCAAATAAGGAAATGTTTTAGTATTGCTTAGTATGGTAAGCACTATGTTACAGGGCACAGTGTGGCCAAGTCTGTCTGTGCTAAACTCCATGGTAAGAGCCACAGGCTTTCTGAAAGGCTGCATTTCTCAGAAACACATGCACCAAATCATAAGATGGGGATTATCTACTGCACTACATGGTAAACTTTCACAATGCCAAAGAAAAAATGGAATGCAACAGAACTTTTCATCCCACAAAAGACTTAATATATTTGGCAGCCTCATTTTAGAGTACTCCTTTTTGGTACAGAATCATTTTGCCAAAATACTTCTGTGATACAGATGCACGTGATAAATTGTAAAACGGAATTTCACCCTCTAACGAGCCCCAGAAAAACAAGGTAGTGTAGCACTAACCAACATGCAACTTCTCATTTTCAATATCCCCAAATTGCAAAATACTAATAGCTAATACATATACTACATGCCAAGTATTAAGTACTTTGCAATATTATCACAATCTGTTATAACCGCACTATGAGGAAAGTAGAATACTACAATTATCTCGTTTTGCAGATGAAGAAGCTGAGGTATAGAGATTAATTTACTCAAACTCATATAGGCTGTTAGGCTGTCAAGTCTAGCTCTTAAGAGTTGATACATGTAGCCTTTGGCTAGTGAGCTGCTATTTTTGGAAGTGAATTTAGCTTTAGCGGTATATTAAAAACTACTGTTTATAATTTGCTCTTAGACCAACAGGTAAATAGTGAACTATCAGGGTGAGTGGTCAGTGTCACGACAAGGCTAGAGCACATGGAGGGGGAAGATCAGTTCTCGTTTGGGAGGTAGCCAGAAGGTCAAAGAAAGCTTTGCAGCAGTGGCATTTGAGCCAGGCCTTGGAAGATAAAAAAAATTGTGTCCTATACTTAGTAGGAGCTTGATCAAGACAACAAAAATATTAACAACACTAATGACCGAGATGATATTAAGAAATACGCCCTCAACAAGATGCACGACACACGGGTGATGATATTCTTGCTTCACTGCAATACCCACTTTACCCTCGTGTTCTGATTTCCGGTTTGGATGTCATATCTATGTTTCTAACAATACCAAGATAGATGATGGAGACCAAAATCTAATCTTCTTTTTTACGATAAACACCTTTTATTATATTTCAGTGTGCAAAAATACAAATTATCAAAAATAAAATACACAGCACTTTTGCTATGGATCCAGGCAAAGACATGACTAACAAGAGTTCCCTAACAGAGGACAGTGAATACTTTGGTGGATTGATTCTGGGAGCTAGAGTAGCCCTGCTCTCATTATACTATGAACCCAAGTTAATCAACTTTCATAATGATATACACTTAAACTATCAAAACCAAGTAAGGCACAGCATCATTCAAAATTTACAGACAGATGAGCAATAATCCAGAGAAAACATAATTAAAATACTCTGCTGAACATGGAATTATACCACATCTGTAACTTAACACTGGCAAAATTTGGAATGATTATAGCATAAAAGACATTGTTTTTCTGAAAAGTGGACGGCGAGGTGTGGTATATAGGAAAGTGGCTCTGATTCAAGACTCGTTTATTTTTTAAAAAAACTCTTCTGCATTAGATTCTCGTTTTTAGATTTCAAAACTGGGTCTACAATACATAAAAATGACATTAATGAATGTAGCATAAAGATCTTAAAAAGAATCTGATTATACCAGCAATTTGGTGACATATTGGTAGAGCTGTTCTGTAAATGCTTCAGGGGAAAATTTTTCCTTCACCCTGGCTCTTCCAGCCAGGCCCATGGTGGCTTTTAAGGAAGGTTCACGGATGAACTTTTCTATTGCTTCTGAGAAGTGTACCGGGTCAGGCTCACACAGAAACCCTGTGACGCTGTGGACAATGGACTCCAAGGGTCCACCAGAATTAACAGCAATGACCGGGCACTGCATGTACATGGCTTCCAGAGGGACAATGCCGAAGTGCTCATTGCTTGGTGTGTAAAGCACACACGTGCAGTAGTGGAGGAGGGAGATTTTCTGTTTGTCTGAGAAAGACCTCAAGAAGGTCACATACTGGCCAAGGTCAGACTGCTGGACCATTTTCTTCAATTCCTGATAATGTTCCACATTCTCCTGGACTCTCTTATCATAACCACCTGCCACGATCAGATGAACCTGCTCCCAATCTTGAGACGTCAATCTTCCACGCAGCTGTACCAGGGCTTCCAGTGCCAAAGTCAGATTTTTCTTCCTTTCGTATCTGTTGATAGAGAGCAGCAGGAATTTTTTCCCCTTGGGGACTAGGTCATCAAGCTTTTCAGGAACAACTGAGTCAAAGCTGGTGACATTTAGAGATGGATAGAGGACATCAGGGTCTACATGAGACAGGGACTTGAATGTTTCCTTAAAAACAGCAGCTGTGAACTGGCTGTTGACTAAGACGCAGTCGGCCATGCCTGTGGTGTATTCCTCTATCCAGTCAACCGGGGCCCTGTACAGCTGTTTAAGAAAAGAATCTCTCTTGGTGAGAAGCAGATCTGGGAAGTGACAGTAAAACAGGATCTTCTTCCGCCGTCTAGCCAGCCTGAACACTGGGATACAAGCGGACACCTAGCCAAAGCAAAAATCAACAGCAGAGAAAGTGGTCAACTCAACTTCAACCAAACCAAAAGCACAGACACCCATCCTGTCTGCTAGTCTGTGGGGTCCTCATGGGCAATGTCTGATTCTGCTTTGTTCCCCTAGACTTTCACCCAGTACCTTATGACTGGTGTACAGAAAGCTAGAGATATTTGCTAGATGTGTGCTAAACATTTAAAACTTCAAGTCCAGTGGTTTCCTCTTGAACAGTGCTGTCTAATGAAAATAAGATAAAAATCTAGTAATATTAAAAATGTTTTTAAGGGTGAAATTAATTTTAATATATTATTTACCCCAAACATTATCATTTCAAAATGTAATCAACACTAAACAGTATGGAGATACTTTATATATACATGTATTTCGCATTAAATCTTCAAATCAGTTTTGTATTTTAACTTTAGCGCATCTCAGTTTAGATTAGCCACATTTCAAGTGCCCAACAGTCACATGTGGCTAGTGGCTACCATATTGTACAGTACAGCCCTAGGATCTTTCTCTTCCTAAAGAACTGAATGATCAACTATAGCAGTTTAGAGTACAAGCTCTAGATTCAAGACTGCCAGGGTTTGAATCTCAGCTCTACTAATTGCGTGGCCATGATCAAGTTAATTTATCCCACTCTGGGTCTTAGTTTCCTCTTCTGTAACATGGTAACAATTATAGTTACAAAAAAAAAAAAAACCCATATAATTTTTGTGATTATTGAATGCACTGATATATGCAAAACACATGGAGTTTAGCACACAGTATGTGCTCAATAAATATTAAAGCTAGTCATACTGAGCATAAACTAGATGCTGGCATCACTACAGACTTTTTTGTTGGGTAATCTTTACAAGTCATTTTAGTCTCAGCTAACTTAATTAACACCTGAAGAAGGTAAACTTTAGGGATATTGTGCAATTTATTCAAAGCCACTTTATTAAAGCAGCAGATACAGAAGTTGAATCCAGGATGCCTAATTCCAAGCCCAAAATTTTTCCTCTACCCACTATAGTCTCAGATGCCTCATGCCTATCTATTGACACATGCAGTATGTTTGGTAAATGTTCATATTACTTAAAAAGAAAGCTTCCACACAAGCAAGGATAATCAAAAATAATTCAGGAGTCAGAATTAAAGAAACACAAATACAAACGTGACGTCATTTTCACCTATCAGTTTGGCAAAGATTAAAACGGCTGATATCTAAGGCAGACAAAAGCATGGAGTATGAGGCTGTATCATACACTGTGGGAGAGTAAAGTGACACAGCCTCTTTGGTAGACAAACTTGGCAGTAGCTATTGATATTTAAAATGAACAACTCTTAGACCCACCCACTTTAGGAATGTCCTCAAAGGACATGTCTGCAGAAGTACAAAAAAAAAAAAAAAAATTAAAAAGACATAAAAGGATGTTCATTACAACATTGATCTATTCACAAAAAACTAGTCACAACATTGGTGTCCTTCAAGAAGCCTGTTTAATTATGGCACACTTATTTAAAAAAGTGAATTTTCTGGCCACTATGACGAACGAAGAATCTCTAATGTCGCGGTCGGGCGCGGTGGCTCACGCCTGTAATCCCAGCACTTTGGGAGGACGAGGTGGGTGGATCACTTTATTTAGGTCAGGAGTGAGAGACCAGCGTAGCCAACATGGTGAAACCTCATCTCTACTAACAATACAAAAAATTAGCCGGGTGTGGGGCGCGCCTGTAATCCCAGCTACTCTGGAAGGCTGAGGCGGGAGAATCGCTGGAACCCAGGAGGCGGAGGTTGCAGTGAGCCGAGATCGCATCACAGCACTACAGCCTGGGAGACAAGAGACTCCGGCTGGGAAAAAAAAAAAAAGTCCCAAATAGAATTTTTTGCTGAAAAAAAGGGAAGATGCCTAAAGTACGTATGTCTTAATCCCAATTATGTACCAATAGAAGATACACCTATGAAAAGACACATGCTGGTGTCACCACAACTCCTGGAAAAATACAAGAGAAACTTAACGGTGGCTATCTTCAGGGAGTGGAAAAGGACGGGGCTTTTAGGTTACGTCCTTCTATAATACTGAGTTTTCGGTCGAGTAAATGTTACTTTTTAAAGTCATCTTTTTTAGGATGGGAAAAATGAATGAAGGAAAGGGTCGAGAATAGCTACAGGGCAGATCCAGGTGGACATTATTTACCAAGATAAAAAGCTTGAACTTTTCTCCAAAAACCAGTGGGGAGCCATGTACAAGTTTTAATAGAGACATGATATATTCAGCTTGGCGTTTTTAACACAGGACACTCTTGAGGACGGTGTGGCCTGGCTCAGAACACAAGTACAGTGGGATGCAAATAGCCTGAAAGCAGAGTCAATAAAAATAACGCGTAAGAAGGAAGACGACACACGATTGCTCATTAATAAAAGGGGACTGAAGCTGACTTCGAATACCAGCGTTTTTCAGAGCGAGCCCCAAGGACTATTTGCATCCGAATCACCCCATGACCCAGTTAAAATGCAGATTTCTGGGCTCCACACCAAGGATCCAGGATGAAAACTTCCAGGAGAGTGGAGCCTTAGCAATCTGCAACTTTAATGGGCCCACACTAAAGTTAGGGAACCACAGGCTCGCTCCCAGCTCGGACTTCTCCAGGTCAGTTCCGATCTTTCCGAACCGCAGACAGGGAAGGTCCTCTGTCGGAGGTCTTGCCCGCAGCCGCCCTCCAAGGCGAGGTCCGCACTTGCGAAGCCGGCCCCGCGGCTGCCTCACCTGGTCGCACACGACCACATCGAACTCCTCGTCGGCGAGGAACAGCACGTAGAGCGCCAGGAAGACCATGCGCACGTAGGAGCAGACGGCGGCGCCGCGGCCGCCCCAACCCAGGCCGCGCGGCAGCCAGTCCCCCGCGCATCGCACCGGCAGCTCGCGGCTCTCGGCGAAGCAGTGGCCCGGATCGTAGTGCGCTGTCCAGATCTTCACGCTACACCCGCGCGCCTGCAGCGCCAGCGCCGCGTCCAGTACCAGCCGCTCGGCGCCGCCCACACCCAGGTCTGGGTGCAGGAACAGCACCGAAGGCTTGGGAACTGGGTCCCATTTCCGGCCCTGGCCCTCCGCCATGGCTCTGGGGCAGCAACTGCATCCCACACCCAGAGGGGCTTCTGCGCAAGCTCCGCTTCCCCGGCTCCCAGCTGGCCACTGAGGGCCGACCCCGCCCCTCCGCGCGTGCGTCAGTTAGGCCACATCAGCGCAAATTTGGGGGGGGCCTAGTAACTGCCTGAGAAAATGGCCTATCTAAACCCTGGTTATATTTTTCCTTACATAGGGATTAGACTCTAGGAAGGCCGTTGTGACCCAAAGGAAGGAGACTGGAGGTTTCTACTTCCCACAGAGCGGGTAACTAAGTTGTGTGTAGCAGACTATCTACAGGCATGTCGTGAGACAACACAGGCGTCCCTGGAGTCAGCGAGGACCTTGCCTGCAAGTCCAGGGGCGGGGCCTGAGCCAGCCTAGCCAGCTGCCGGTCCTACCAGGGCTCCCCAACTTTCTTTCCGTCCGCATCAGCAACTTGACACTCTCATCTCCAGCATGGTATGGCGCCCCTTCCTTGATCCCCGCCTCTCCCAGGGCCCTGACTTCTCCTTTACGCCATGCGTTTTCTCCGTAGCTCCCTTGCTTCCCCCAGCCTCTCTGGTGCGGGTGTCTAGGCCAGGGTTTTGGGGCAGGGCTGCCCCGCTCACCCGTGTGTCTGCCTGTCTCCTTCTACAGCCTGGTCCGACCCCCAGTGGCACTAACGTGGGATCCTCAGGGCGCTCCCCCAGCAAAGCGGTGGCTGCCCGGGCGGCAGGATCCACTGTTCGGCAGAGGTAAGGAACCCTGCAGTCCGTTCGCTTGCAGACTCGGAGAAAGGGCCCAGGAACTCTCTAGTTTTGGGGAGGAGACCCTCTAGCATATGAAGATTGACAAGGGCAAAATGAGCTTCAAGTGACGTGGCCGTGTGAGTAGTTAAAGGTCTTTAGGGAGGAAGGCGACGTTTTCTTCTCGTCGCTCAGTTTAGGGCACCACTCTTAAAAAAGGAAAGTTAACAAACTGGAATAGAGTCAGAGATAACTTTGAGAAAACTGATGTCATTAAACTGGTGTCTCTGGACCTGAGGTTTCCACTCACATTTCCATCTGGAGGCCCCATAAGCAATCTGTCCTACAGATAACTTGTCCTGCGCAAAAACTCTCTTTTCAGCTCAGCTCCTTCACTCTCAATTATATCTCCTTACTTCCATATGGCACAGTTGTACACGCATTTACTCAAAGCCAGAAACGTCAGCGTCATCTTGGATTTTTCTTATGCTTTCTCTCTATCCAGTCATATGCCAGACTTTAAACTCTACTTGAAAGCCTTCTCATAAGCTCTTTCCTTCTCCTTTCCTACTGCCCTGCGTTTGCGACCTAACCCTTCTCTTCAGGCTGTTTCCTTTCCAATCCATCTTTTTGCTGTTACTCTTCTGTGTAATTTGTGTTACTTTCTCGTTGCTGAACCAAAAAATAAATTAACAAAAATAAAAAAGCCAGGGGGATACCAAAGCTCTTGGTGGTCATTTCAGCCTAGCCTTTCTTTGCTGTCCTATGATCCAGCACTTATGAACTTATTATTGTTTTCTGAATTTACTAAGTTGCTTCCTTACCTCAAGGCAAATTTCTATTTATTTTCGCTCAGAGGTTATTTCCTCTTGAGGCCTTCTGTGACTGTAAGCAGCAGTAGCTACTAGTTTTCCCTTTTGGTCCCATAGCATTTTGTTCATATCATTGTAAGACCAGTGATGTTTCCATATTTATCTCCTTCATTAGACTTTAACAGAGAACCTGCTCAAGTCATTTCTATCCCCAGCACCCACCATAAGGCATGACAATAAATAATGAAGGAAGGGAGGAATCTAGCAACCAGATTGTTTTGGGATTTTTGAAGGAAACAATGGGGTTTTATCTAGGGAGGAAAAGATCTTAAGTGCATGCTTGGAAGCTTCTTAAGGATGTGAAGAGGGATGTGACTTTTCTTGTTGGCTGCAATAGGTAAATCTAAAACTGATAATTTGAAATTACATGCAACATTTCACACCAGAACAAAGACATTCTAATAGAACTGTCAGAAATGTAAAATTATCCTGAATGCTTGTGAGTTCCCTGTCACTGAGATGTTCAAGAGTGTATCAGGCTGTGGTTTAGCTTGTATGGGCTTCTAGTGCTGTCCCCTTCCCACCCTGGGTTTTAGAGATCCTTTGAGAATAGAAAACATGTCCTTGTGGGTGCAGTTCCCTGGGAATGGATCTGCTTAATGAGAATTGGTAATACCGTGGCAGGGAAGTTTGGCCATTGGAGAAGTTGTAAAGAAATAAAAAGCATGTATTTATCAAATGTACATGTGATAATGAAATAACTTATTTAATAGTAAAAATGAAATAACTGATGCACAGGTAAAATGGAGAACTTAAACATTTGAAGACAGATGCAGTTTTTAAAGTTGTGGGTGTTGATATCATCTTTTAAAAAGATTCAGTGTGTTAAGGCGAATATAGCTAGAGAGACTGTGGTTGTATATATTGAGAGACCTGACAGTGTTTCCTTCTAGAATTTTGGCAGTGACTAAATATCATTTCATGATTGTAATGTAATAAGTATTGGTTGTTTAAGAATATTCTTGCTTTATAAGTCTTTGAGAAAGCATTGGAAGCTAATGATTCATAATAGTGCTTTGGATTATGTTGTCTGCATATTTGCGTTCTCCATGCTTGATGAAATAATAGATTACTACCTTGGAGGAGAAATGTTGTTAAATTTAAGGTCAGGCCAGAGTTAGTGTTCTTGCTCTCCTAAATGCAGCGTAAAAGGAACTTGCTGTGAGGAGCAATAATGCTTTGTAAACTATGAAGGTGTAAAGTGCCACACAGTGTTCTAGCAGGATTAATGGGAATCAGGGATATTAAGATGGTGGAATAGGCAGGCTGCGGTGGCTCATGCCTGTAATCCCAGCACTTTGGGAGGCCGAGACAGATGGATCATGAGGTCAGGAGTTGGAGACCAATCTGGCCAAGATGATGAAACCCCATCTCTACTAAAAATACACAAATTAGCCAGGTGTGGTGGTGGGCACCTGTAATCCCAGCTACTTGGGAGGGAGGCTGAGACAGGAGAATCACTTGAACCCGGGAGGCGGAGGTTGCAGTGAGCCGAGATTGTGCCATTGCACTCTAGTCTGGGCAACAGAGCAAGACTCCATCTCAAAAAAAAAAAAAAAAAAAAAAAAAAAAAAAAAAAAAAAAAAAAAAAAAAAAAGGTAGAATAGCCACCAATGTATTGACATCAAGGTGTTGAGGTCTACTACATGCCAAATGCTGTTTCAGCTCTAAAGATGGATCTATGAACAAGATAGGCAAGATTTGTACTCCTCAACCTTATACTTCAGTATAGGAGATCAAAAGCAAGGAAAATAAGATAATGTAATTTCACGGAATAAGGGCTATGAAGATAAATGAAGCTGGGTGGGGGATAGAGAGTGGTGGGGATAGGATGAAGGTAGGTAGCTGTTTTAAATAGGGTGTTCACAGTAGGTGATACCTGAGTAGAGAGCTGAAAAAAGCAAGAGAGCAGATCACACAATGGTTGGTGACGAATAAGCATCCTAGCAAAAGGAATGGGTAAGTATGAAGATTTTGAGGCCGATGAGCTTGGCTTTGAGGAGCAGACAGAAGTCACCATGTTAGAACAAAGTGTGTAACTGATTGGTTATGAAAACCATTGTGTTGAGGTATGGAAGGGAGAAGCAGTTATGCAGAAATAAAAGAAAGAAAGGGTAAAATAGCCTCCAAATAGAAATTTGAGAGATTAAAGTATGCTTTATTAACCTTTATCTAGCCTCCCTTAGGGAATGGGAGGTGTTTTGAGTACACTTTAGTATTTCTAGGGGCCCTGGTTTTCAAATACTCTGCTATGTTCCATGTGCCAACAGAAATAAGAAACCTTAAGAGAAGCCAGCCTGATTCTTCTGGGGCTCCTATAATTCCAGGAAACTCTGAAGTCAGGAACTGGAGGTGGGAGATTGGGTAGTAGGAAGTACATGGGTCCAAGTCCTGGCTGAGTCCACGAGTTACTATAATATATTCACACTGGGTTTGTCTTCTAGCTTAAGTTCCTTTTCAGTAACATGGAGGAAGATTTCAGCTGTATACCCCACAGATGAAATGATGTATATCTGTGTGTGTGAAACCTTTTCTAAGGGCATGAATTTCTCTGTAAATCCCTGTACAGTTATGTTTTGCCATTTACAATCAGTTTTCCCATAGAAACAGTCACACAATGGAGTTATAAGTTCCCAGGCTACCGTGTAGCCCATAATTAATGTGTCTGAAGTATAATCCTTGTAGTACAATAGACCCAAATGTTTGTTTGGCACTGATTGCTTTCAAAGTTCTAGCATGAACACAGCTCTTCCTGTTGGAACCAGGACTGGACTTTCCCACTCTGTCATGTAGTAGGGCAGGCTCCCTGAGCTGTAAACAGTGCTTCCTGCATTCAGAGTGTGGAGTAAAGACCATGGATGGGTAAAGTGGGCATGAGGACCAGAATGACGAGGAGAGCAAGAGGAGATGGTAGGGATAGGGTCTGTTTTTTTCCCTATATGCCCTTCCCTTTTTCAAAAATTGAGAATCAGCAGCCCACAGATACTGGAATGAGATTTTGAGGGAGGGTATACTGGGATTTGATGCTGAATGGTTCAGGCAGCAATGAGACCGGGCTTCCCCTTTTTACTCCCCACTAGGACTTCTGAGTTGTTGATGCATGCGCTGAAGAAGATTGCTTCTGACTTCTTACCACTTGCTCCTTACCCTATATTGTACCACTCTAGCATGGGGCAAGATGAGCAGCCGGGGTTGGGGAAGGGTGGTTGCTGGGTGGGCTTCCCCGGTGACTGAGAGCTTCTCCCAAAGAGGAGAGAAAGGATTCCTTGGGCCTATTCCTGGTCAGCGGAGTCCTAAGTGCTGCTAGGCTGCTTCTGTCTGCCTGGGCTGCATGTATCACATGGTGGATCTCACAAGCCTTGATCCCCTTGTGAGAGACATGTTTTGGTTGGGTGTTCTCTGTATTTTTGTTTTTTTTTAATATCCTACCTCTCTGTGTAAGACCTGTGGTCACTACATTAAAACAGTGAAAACATGTAACAAAGTAATTTTTTGTAAAATGTATACTCTGTCTTGGGACCTGGATATAATTTAAAGTTTAGTTTTTGTCTCTGCAGTAAACATACTAATTTTAAAATACATCTTTTAAACTAGCCATTTTAAGATCAGCTTGCATGGATTCAGGGCATTTTAAAACAGGGATTTATTACTTGGCTACATGAAAAATACATGTGAGGAGAAAGTGAAATGCTTTGTCCACATAAGGCGGCTGGATGTTTTGGGCATGTGGATGGGCTCCAGGGTCACAGCTAGGTTCACGTCCCAGCTCAGCCACCTGTTGGGGTCTTAGGTACTTTGTTGACCTTTTCTGAGACCAATTTGCCCGATTTATAAAATGGAAAAATAGTACTGCTTTTCAGGGTTATTGTGTGTATTGGCATCAGGCAGGCACCTAGTTCCCTGTGGTTATCATGATCAAAGGAGTAAAAGCAGGAATTTGGGTGGATTCTAGCAAAGAAAGTTTTCTGTTTGTTTTAACAATGTAATAATGTTAGCATATGTTATAATGCTATTCTAAGAATTTCCAGAAAAGGCCATTTGTAACATCTTCCTCTCTTTCAGGAAGAACGCCAGCTGTGGAACAAGGAGCGCAGGCCGCACGACCTCGGCAGGCACCGGGGGGATGTGGCGATTCTACACAGAGGATTCACCTGGGCTCAAAGTGTAAGTCCTCGGAACAGGCCGTGTGTTTCCGTCTGGTGTCAGCAGGGCAGCAGTGGCAGCGCTCTGTCTCTGTCACCAGTGGCGCTTACCTTGATGAGATTTACTGTACACAACAGCCTTGTTTGTGCCATGCGGGCTGGGTTTGGTTTGCCTGTTTATCAACCAATTAGGCAGTTTAGGACCAGGAATGACATCTCTTCATGGAGTGAGGGAAAGGAAGGGAAGTTCTTCATGGAGCTATGTCCAAATAAATGATGAGAACAGAGAGAACTGGAGGGAAAACTGCTTGATTAGATGAAATTGCTCTTCATTTGGTGTTCTTGCCCCATACTGAGAAATAGGACTAACCATTTGAGTAGGAATTGGGTGATTTTTCAAAGTTCTCCTGAAGGCACAAGCTGATACTATTACAACTTGATGGAGGTTTTCCCATTAGGCTGTTACCAGGAGTTCCTTGGCCTCCTTGCTTTTGGTGGGTGGTGAGTACACTCAGGAGGGTGAGCATATAATACCACTTTACAAGTTCTTAGGCATTGGGGTGCTCATTAGGTGATGCGAAATGGGCATCCAGGGACCCCTGTCCCCATGCCCTGCTCAGGGTTTCTGGTATTGTGTGGCAGGTCTAATCCCACAGGTTTCTGTTAGGTTTCAGAACACCGCTGCCTATAGCTGTTTCCTGACTAAACCCGCTGGATAAGGATTTGAAATAATAACAGTGACTCTCATTTACATAGCACCTGGTACTTTGCAAAGAACTTTCAATGTCTTTTATCTAGTTTGATCTGTCTCCCAATCCGATGAGGTAAGAGATGTTGTCATTTTGTAGATGAGGACCTCAGGTTCAGAGAAGCAAAGTGACATGCTCAAAGACAAACAGCAAGAGGTGGAACCAGATATTCTGGTTAAGTCCTACGGTCTTTCCATATTGTCCACCTGGTGGCAGGGGGGAGAAAATTGAATAATTTGGATTAGTTTTAATTAATTTGACCAGCATCTTGATTTGGATCACAAATTTAGTTCACAAAGGCTTCCCTGGAATTCTTGTTTTCTGTTATACTGGAGACTTACATGATAATGTAGGAATATCTAGGAAGTAATTCTTGCGGTTGGAGGTATGTGAGGAGAAGGTATCCTGACTGCCAACCTTTTGATCTTTGGTAGAGGTAGTTAGAGTATTTCAGAGAGAATTTTTTTTTCTCCTTTAGCAACAGGGTTTTGCTCTGTCACCCAGGCTGGAGTGCAGTGGTGTGATCATAGCTCACTGTAGTCTTGCATTTCTGGGCTCAAGTGATCTTTACTCCAAGAGACAAGATTGGATAAATCTGTATTAGTTTATTAGTTCCGATAGTTGGTACTAACAGGTGTGCACTACCATGCCTGACTAATTTTTTGTACAGGCAGAATCTTGCTGTGTTGCCCAGGCTGGTTTCTAACTCGTGGCCTCAGCCTCTCAAAGTGCTGGAATTACAGGTATGAGACACTGTACCCAGCCTCAGAGAGAACATTTGAAGCCCCTTGCTCTTCAGGGGACTTGTTTTAAACCCTTCTCAAAAAGGTTGTCTTTTAATTTTTATGGGTATACAGGCGTATATATTTATGGGGTATGTGAGATATTTTGATACAGGCATATGATGGGTAATAATCACATCAGGGTGCATGGGGTATCCATTACCTTAAGCATTTATTCTTTATGTTATAAACAACTCAACTATACTGTTAGTTATTTTATAACGTACAATTAAATTATTTTTTACTATAGTCACGTTGGTGTGCTAGCAAATACTAGTTCTTACTCAGAAGGTTGTCTTTAAATCTTAATTTGAAAAAAAAAAGTTTGGCAATTGGTTCATTTGCACAGAAAGAGTTTAGGAAATTTTTCTTCTTTTTATTTGAGAAGATAAGAAATACATGAAATTAATGTCTCCAAGACATCAAATCATTTCAACTTGTATGTATTTTGGTATGTCTTACTAAAGAATAAGGACTTGTCGTTTCTAAACAAAATTGCAGTGCCATTATCACACCCTCAAAATATCTACAATAATAATTTTAGGATTATTTTAAAATGATATAAATAATGTTTCTGGGTGAATCTTGAGTGCTGCCCACCTTACCTCTACTTTTCCCCTAGGCAATCTTTAGTATTGTAGATATAATAATATATTATTACTAAAAGTAAGCATGCTTTCTCTTCTTATTTCTAGTGGCCCTGTTCCAGTATTGGTTATGAGTCTTCTGTTCATCGCTTCTGTATTTATGTTGCACATTTGGGGCAAGTACACTCGTTCGTAGATTCAGTTACATCCATCTGTCATCTGAAGAAGGAGGAAAAAACTTAACATATCTTGGACCAAAAGTATAGTGACTATCTTTTCATGTGAAAAAATTTCTGTAAGCTTGTTTTACAGGGGATTTATCCATAATTGATTTTGAGGAACCATTTTTTTCTATGGCTAATAAACTTAAGTTCACTTATACTGAGTCTGATGGTTGATGCCTCACTGCTAGGACCCTTAGTCTTTCTGCCTTTAGATTTGTAAGTAAATATGTAGAAAATATGTCTTGTGAATATTGAGTTTTTTGTTGGATTGATAGTTTCTCACATAACCATGTGGTTATTCATGTCCAAGATCCTGTAATTGCCCTTAGCTTGCTTGCTTCTAGGTATTTCTATCCTGATAATTGTCCTTTTGGGTATTCTGTGATTATCAAGGAGTGTGTCCGTGACTCCATCAGACAGATCTATGTCCAAAGGCAGCTGGTACTTAGAAGAACAATCACACAAGAAACTGGAGATCTTGGATGAAATGTTGGCGCAGGCTGCTCTTTGTCTTTAAGGCCATAGACTATATTTTGCCTCTTCTTTCTCAGTTCTTAATTTTATGAGTGTAGACCAGGGATTTCCATTCATCTATTTCTTATTGTTAAACCCATGTTGAGATAATTCATTTGATAAATTGGGATTTTTCAAATAAAATTTGGTAAGACTTATCTAATCAGAATGAGACACTAACATTTCTACACTGAGTTGACATAATTCTAACTGAAATAAAAGTGAAGTTTCACTTAGCTTATGCTGCCATACTGGGTATAAAGATTCGCTTTCTGATAGGCCCTAGAACATACTAAGCATGGCTCAAAGGTAGCATACTTCAGCCAGGACTTCAAGCCAGAATTTCTGACAAGAGAGGGCATTCCCTGGGAAAGGTCCAAGTTGTGGAGAACAGAGTCACAAAATGATAGAGGTGTATTATTAATAGTTAAGGAAAAACAGATAATTTTAAAAACATCTTTTTCATACATGAAGCCTATTTTTAAGAAAAAGTCTCTGAACAGGTAAGCAGTTTCTTAAGTGTTCTTTAAAATCCTAGCAGTAAAGTACTTTTAGATTCAAAGTGTCAAATTTAAATGATGAGAATATGTATCTTTAAAAAAGATTTAGGGAAATATATTGGTAACTGAGCTCTTGTGAATCCTAACAAATGGCATTTTATTGGGAAAAATTGATGAGAAACTGGTTTTCTTGGATCCTGTGAGTTGCTTATTACATGAAACAGGTGTCTTCATTTTTGAAATGCAGGGAAAAATGTCTTGATTTCATTTGGAAGAAATTAAATATAGTAGTTTCCATAATGGTTTTTTTCCCCCTGATATCGAGTTTGATGGTATCAATTATAGCTAAAAATTATGCCTATAATTTGGAAAAGAAATCTGTCTCTCTGGCCAGAGGGGCCCTTTTCTCTGGGGGAGATGGCTGCAGCCACATGGGGGAGCTGTTTGGTTGTGAGGGGTGCATTCTCTTGCTGCACCTGTCTGCCTAGCCATGGTCTCTAGTGGACTACTAGCTGAAAGTCACTGAACTTTCTGAACTAGTGATTTATAAGATGCTACTTTCAGTGGCAGAACAAGGAGATGCTTCATTCAGCAGAAGGAAAAGAAGGAAAATTGGGGTTGGGCATAAAGATGTGCAACATCTGTTACGTAGCTGCTTTTGGCTCTGATGATACGATACTCATACATAGCTGAGAATCTTAGTGTGTACAAGCTGTTCCTTTTTTTTTTTTTAATTGTAAAATACGCATCATAGAATTTACCATCTTAACCAGTTTTAAGTATATAATTCAGTGATATTACATATATTCATATTGCTATGGAACCATCACTAAACTGAAAATACAAATCAAAAAATAACTCCTTCTCCATGCCCCTGCCCATGCCCCTGACCTTCCCCTGTCCCTGCCCCTGCCCATATGGACCTCATAGAAGTAGGATCACATAGTATTTGTCTTTTCGTGACTGATTTATTTCAGTCACAAATGATTTATGGCCTAGCATAATGTCCTTAAGATTGATCCATGCTGTAGTATATGTTAGAATTTCCTTTTTTAAAGACTGAACAATATGTGTCTGTACTACATTTTGTGTTCCTTTCTCTTTAAAGGTATTCTCTTTAATAGGTATTCGTAGATTGTTGTTTCCTGAGCCCTGGGGGATAGGGATCATGAGCTATTCAAAGTAATTCTGAAACCCTAACTAATTAAATCTTTACCTTGGCCCAGCAAATCATCAGTTTGTCTTGACCATGGGCTATAATTCTAACCATTTCTGATGGATACATAAGACAGCACATGCTGAGTAGAAGCTCTAACTAATTAAAGAAAACTGGAAAAATGAGTTAGATTGTAACTGCAGTTTGGGTTGAGCCTGTTAAGCCACTGGGGAAAAAATATGTTAGAGAAAAGGCCCAGTGAGTCCCTGAAACTAGTAGGGATTAGAAAGAGTAGGGTCTCTGGGCCCTAATATTACCCTAGACTGTTCCAGTGAGACTGGATGAGGATAGCATCTGTGCCTGGGAGAAGCTAAATATGTTGTAGCTTCTGCTTTCACCCCTGTCCTCATCAGTTTTTATTCCAGGTGCCAGTGCCCCCACAAGAATTGAAAAGGACATTTTGAGATCATGCAAATGTTGGCATCAAGTTAAAATAGATGAAAATGCCTACAAAGCTGGATTTATTCAACAGAAAATACTGTCAAGTGTGGAGCACCTATGTGCAGAGTCATGCTCTTGATTCTCATAAAGCTGCTCCTTGGTAGCTCCCGAGCCGGCATTCCTCCCTTCGAATGCTGGAGGAGGAGGGCCAGGACCACGCTGGTTTGATTCTTTAGGTGCACCTTCTAAACTTAGCGCATCTACTTTATTCCATCTTCTGGGACTGGAAGTGTTCCTGACGTGGGTTCAACTGCTGGCCCTAAAACTTAACCAGTTGTGTGATCTTGGGCAACTCACTTCTCTGGATCTCACTTTTCTTAGGCATAAATAAGTATAGGTATGATAACTCCAACCAGATAAGAGATTCCACAAGAGAATGTTGTAAGAATGCTGTGTTAACTAGCTAATGTAGGGGAAGCTAAAGATCACCTCTACTGTCTTAGTTGTTCAGTAGGGTCTTCAGCTGCATCTGGAATCAAATTGACACAAGACAAATTAACAGGAGGAAAGCATGCACATTGTATTACATTGTATTACATGCACATTGTATTACATTGTATTACATGCACATTGTATTACATTGTATTACATGCACATTGTATTACATTGTACATAGGGACCCTCACAAGAGAGTAAAGACCCTAGGAAATAGCCAAAGGAGAAAGGTCTTACAGGTTTTAGACAAAGAACAATACATTTGTGAAAAAATGACAGGACAAAGGAATCTAGGATGGGGCGGTAATCACCAGGAGATACATGGGGTGGAGGGTTGTAGAGATAGTGGAAGATAAGGGTTTCTTCAATAAGTTTATTTGTACAGGTTCATTACAGCAGCAATTCTCAGGACCTGATACTTTTTCACCTTGGTACGGGGAAGGCATCCTCCTCAAAGGATCTTTTATGGTTTGCTACATGTAGGAAAGGACAGGTCAGATAACCGTTTCTGCATTTACAGTTTCTTAATTGCTTATGGTTTCTTAAATAATCAGTATATCAAATCGGCATATTTAGGGGTAGACCATCCTTAACTCGTTGACTAACAGTTAACAAGTGCTTCTTTGCAACACTTTTAGAGATAGGGTTTTTAATTTATCAGCAATCTAATGAGGAGTTTGCTCTTTGCCCCCTTTTACACAGGAGGAAACTGAAGCTTAAGCCACTCAGCCGGTAAGTGGAAGAGCTGGAATTTTACTGCAGATCTTTGACCTTCTGGAGTCACATGAATGGGATTCTTCAGTATTTGGGGTGAGGGAAGCGTGTCACAATAATAGAGCTTGAAAGGTAGTGCCTTTAAAAATAACAATCCCAAGAATAAGCCCCACTATTGTACTTCAAGCCTTAAATAGCTTTAGTTTGAGGTTTTAGATTCTACAGAGGAATTGATTTTTGTATTTTAGTCCTTTTGAGCTTTGTTTATTCTGTGGAGCTCTTGCAGTTACAGAGAAAGCATAGTGTTTAGGCATTGAGCAAACATTTACTGAGCACTGTGTGCCGTACCTTTTTATTGGGGGTTTTAGAAATGACCTGGCAAAGTCATTAGCTTAAATGGGCTGGGCATTTTCATACTAGGATCCTAGTCCTATCTGGGGCTACAAATTAGAAATGGCTACTGTGATTATGGAAAAACCAGTCAGGGAGCCCTCTCAGTCTGCCCTGCCATTGGTGAAATCAAATAGGACCACAGTTTAAGGACGAGTATGCTCATGATGCATGGGCTGTGGTGCCAGGGATTGCAAAACTGGCACTGTCTCCAGGAAATCCATACTGTATGATCACTTGCCCAACAGAGAAAAAGCAGAGAATCCTGAGGTGCCCTACCTGGAAGGGCTGAGAGTTCACTGGGTTCTCTCCATTGTATGACAGAGGAGACGGGCTCAGAAAGGGAAGGAGTTTGCCTGAGATTGTGCAGCAGATTTGTAGCAGAACAGAGGCCAGAACCAGGCTTTCCTGTTTCCAGACCAGGGTTTCTTCCCAGTACTGCATTATGAACCCATTTTGAGCCTGTGCATAAGCCCGCCGACCTCTAGAGGGTAGGCTCTGAAAGTAGGTAAGCTAATTGGTAGGCTTTAAATAGTGGTCAGTGTTAATCAAAGGGGAAGGGGTGAAGACAGCAAGGCTAGCTAGTTAAAAATAAAACGAACTCTGTTAGCAACTTTAGGAGAAAGTCAAGTTCATGAGACTTCGTAGAGACAAAATTGGGACGAGCAGCTAGTAGAACTGCAGTGTTTTGCATTTTTGTGACCACAGATGTTAGGTGAGCCAAGAACACTGTGAAATTGACCAAGTAGGGTTAAGGTTTGAGTAAAGGCTAAACTGTTGAAATGCTATTCCTGGCCACTTTGGCAACTGGGTCTCTTTCCCATGGTGAAGGCATTAAAATAAGATAAAACATGCAAATGCACTAAATCAGAATCAAAGGTGTAGTGATACATAGTCTGGATTGCTCCATTTTAAGGAGAGGTCTAGAAGTTTATGCCTGAGAAAG